AGAGGGCTTCTGCTCTCGTGCACATCTGCTGGACTGAGATTGGGCTCAGGGGAGCTGCATGCAGAAGGTTTTTTTTCAGCGCCGGTTCACACAGACGCGGTGCGAACGAATCTGATGCGATTTCACAGCGCATTTTCAGCCTGGGTTCACACTGATGCGCTGCAGCACATTGCATGTGAATCGCCCAGGAACCGCTCCGCATTCCTGTGCAGATCACATGCGATTTCTACATTTTGTATGGCTCAATTCGCACCGCATCCGCACCAAAAAAGTGCAGGACCCTTTTTTTGTCTGCAACAGAATCGGATCTCATTGGTATTCACACCCATGCGATCCAATTCTGCGTTTTTTGCAAACTGATTTCGGGGTGTCGTTAACATACACACCCGCAGCGGTTCGTATGAATGGGGTGCGATTATGAGGCAGTGCGGAAATCGCACAGAAACTGGTGGGAGTTCAGCACCGTATCAGTGTAAACTCGGGCTCACAGTGCCATTTCTGTTGTGACAGATGCGAAATTTAATGCGATTTCTGAGGGAGCTGGGCATAGCTGGAGATGAAATTCACACCACACCTGCGCTAAACTCGCACAGGGCCCTTTTTTGAACCGAATCCAATTATCACTGCATATATGTGAACAGCCTTCATTGGAAATAATGCTTTTTTAGAATACATGCGAATCTATGCTTTTTGGATCGCATTTGATTCGAATAGAACTGGCACCCAGCCTTTAGAACCACTTTAAGTGCCGGTTCCCACCGATGAGAATTCTGTGCGAATCAGATGCGATCCGAAAAGCATGCAGTCACATGTAATCTAAAAAAGCATTATTCGCACATATATGCGGTGCGAATTTGATTCGGTTCAAAAAAGGGCCCTGTGCGAGTTTAGTGCGTGTGCGGTGCGATTTTCATCTCCAGCTATGCCCAGCCCCCTCAGAAATCGCATTAAATTTGCACCTGTCACAACAGAAATTGCAATGTGAAAATGCACTGTCAAATCGCATCAGATTCGCACCGAATCAGTGCGGCTCTTTTAGCTTGTCACCATTTATTGAGTGGTTCTACCAGTAAGGGTGAACGCGGGTTCAGTTCGAACTTGGGCTCCATTCACTTGAATGCATTGTAATTGGCTGCAGTACTGTCTGACAAATGCAACCTGTGACTGCGGCGGTGTGCACCAGCATGGGTGATGGCCACGTTAACTCGTGGCTGGGCAGTCGGGAGCAGTAAAACTGTGGCTCAACAGCCTATTTTTACCGCACCCGGCAACCGCTGTACACCAAGCCTTAGACAAGGTCATGGAAAAGTGTCCCCATTGGAAGGCTTTCTATTCCTCCTCTTGAGGCAGCTCATGGCATATGACAACAGTGATAAAGACAGCTAGAGAGAACGAATCTTCCAAAGGGGACACCGACAAAGAAATAAAAACCTGACAGGGGCTCTAATTCTGGTTCCTTCTCTCCAAAGCGACGGAACAAACATTGCCTTTAGTTATACTTTAACGGAATTGCCTAATATTTTCTGTTCTATTGTTTTTATTGAAAGTTTAGTGATAGTGGACCATTGGAGCTGCAAGGGATTTTGCCCCATCGCAGTGGGGTGCAGTGGTACAGGGCAGTACAGTGGGGTACAGTGGTGCTACAGGGCAGTACAGTGGGGTACAGTGGTATAGGACAGTAGAGTCAGGTACAGTAGTACAGGGCAGTACAGTGGGGTACAGTATAGGACAGTACAGTGCTACAGGACAGTACAGTGGGGTACAGTGGTATAGGACAGTGGGGTACAGTGCTACAGTGACAGTACAGTGGGGTACAGTGGTATAGGACATTGGGGTACAGGATACAGGACAGTACATTGGGGTACAGGGGGTACAGTGGGGTACAGTGGTACAGGACAGTACAGTAGGGTACAGGACAATATGGTGGGGTACAGTGGTATATAGGACAGTACAGTGGGGTACAGGACAATACAGTGGGGTACAGTGGTATAGGACAGTACAGTGGGGTACAGTGGTACAGGGACAGTACAGTGGGGTACAGTGGTACAGTACAGTGGGGTACAGTGGTATGGGGATATTACAGTGGGGTACAGTGGTACAGGATAGTACACTGGGGTACAGTGGTATAGGACAGTTCAGTGGGGTACAGTGCTACAAGACAGTACAGTGGGGTACAGTGGTATAGGACAGTACAGTGGGGTACAGTGGTAGTACAGGTACAGTGGTACAGGACAGGACAGTACAGTGGGGTACAGGAGACAGTACAGTGGGGTACAGTGGTACAGTACAGTGGGGTACAGTGGGCAGTGGGGTACAGTACAGTGGGGTACAGTGGTACAGGGACAGTGGGGTACAGTGGGGTACAGTGGTACAGGACAGTACAGTGGGGTACAGTACAGGGTACAGTACAGTGGGGTACAGGACAGTGTACAGTGGGGTACAGTGGTATAGGACAGTACAGTGGGGTACAGTGGTATAGGACAGTACAGTGGGGTACAGTGGTATAGGACAGTACAGTGGGGTACAGTGGTATAGGACAGTACAGTGGGGTACAGGTACAGTACAGTGGGGTACAGTACAGGTATAGGACAGTACAGTGGGGTACAGTGGTATAGGACAGTACAGTGGGGTACAGTGGACAGGTACAGTACAGTACAGTGGGGTACAGTGGGTACAGGGACAGTACAGTGGGGTACAGTGGTATAGGACAGTACAGTGGGGTACAGTAGGACATTACAGTGGTATACAGTACAGTGGGGTACAGTACAGTGGTATAGGACAGTACAGTACAGTGGTATAGGACAGGTACAGTGGTAGTGGTATAGGGACAGTACAGTGGGGTACAGTGGGGTACAGTGGTATAGGACAGTACAGTGGGGGTACAGTGGGGTACAGTGGTATAGGACAGTACAGTGGGGTACAGTGGTATAGGACAGTACAGTGGGGTACAGTGGGGTACAGTGGTACAGGACAGTACAGTACAGGGTATTTAGTTAGGAAAAAAAACAATATCCGAAGATAGCGTTTAATGCCTTGGAGTCACCCATTGGTCAGTAAGGTACGGCCACGTCTAATCATTCCACTTCTTGGCCATTAGGGAATGGCGGCTCGTTTCTCTCAGCTCCTGGGGTCTGTCTAGGTATTCAGTGTGTGGCCGAGCCCCAGCATTGGAATCCCATCAAGTTTGGTAGGTTGCCAAAGCCAGAAATATCAGGAAAAGTAGAGAGCATTTGTTCCACTTTCTTGGTAAAAGTGCAAACCTCCTTTAGGTTGGGTCACACCATGCAATCCAGGTACAATGTAATACATGGTGGTCGTCCCATTATCATACATATGCAATATATCTGTAAAACTGCCAATAGGGCGGGACTAGAGCAGGGGGGAGGGGGGACAGGACGGGCAGCTTTTTTGGGCGCAGAGTCTTTGTGTTGGAGGGGTGGGTGGGTAGAGGCACCGCGAAGCAGCAGCCCATAGAGTACATTCAACTGAACTGAGAGCCCACCCTCTCCTTGTGGATTGGCATTTCACAGGCAATGAGGAGTCATTGTACGGCCTCCTCACCACCCGTTTTAACCAGCTCATTGTGTGCAGTCGTGGGGCGGTTGCAGGGTGGCCCCATTCACTTGAATGGGTCACACTCGGCGGGTGCAAACGGGGGTACAATCACTGCCATGGCTGCGAAGCAAAGCATGTGTACGCCCCTGGCCACTGCCGCTGCAGCTAAATGGGGAGAGGTTGACAAGAGATAAAAATGTGGCACAACCACAGGATTTTACCACTCCCAGCTGTAAGTGTAAACAAGCCCTTAATGACCCCCTCTGTTGCCTGGAGTCTTCCTTATCTGAGAGGAGGAGCCTAAGTAGAGGAGCAGTGATGTCTCCAGTGGTGAGGTCCATTACCTGCACCAGTGGCATACATAGGGGGGTAAAGGCCTGCAATATGCACCAGGCACTGGTCTTCTGGGGGGTGTCAACAAAATTTTTATATTTTGGACCTTTGCAACCGTCACATAGGCAGGAGAGGCGCTAGTAGAGAAGACAATTGGGGGGTATCCATGTTAGGGGTGGGGGGGCATCCATGTTAGGGGTGGGGGCAGGGATGGACTGACAACTCATGGGGACCCCTGTGTCCTTGCCCACACTCAAACCACACCCAAAAAAGCCTGTGAAAAGGTACCAGGGGCATCTCATGGGGCCCCCTACTGACCCCGGGCCCTTGGGCAGTGCCCGAGTTTCCAAATGGTCAGTCCGCCCCTGGGTGGGGGGCAGCAGTTTGGCAGCTTTGCCCTGAGCCCTGGTTGGCCTTATCCTGCTGCAATATCTTTAAAGGCAGGGGCGGACTGACCATTTGGAAACTCGGGCACTGCCCGAGGGCCTGGGGTCAGTAGGGGGCCCCATGAGATGCCCCTGGTACCTTTTCCATAGGCTTTTTTGAGTTTGGGCAAGGACACAGGGGCCCCATGATCCCCTATTGCCCGGGGGCCCCATGAGTTGTCAGTCCGACCCTGTTTAGAAGAGACTTGAGTTTTGTAACACAAAGATGTCATCCTCCAAGAACAGATTCGAAATACAAGGGAATTCATGATGAGACATCCATTGTACGTTCATGCCCCCCTGGCTCCCACAGGCAGCGCAGTCAGTACCATGTTTCTCTTGTTACAACAATAATTCTTTAGGCGAAGGAAAGTAATTAATTTGGAGTTAAAATGCAGAAACTGTGAAGTCAAAGCCTTGTATTAGGTCTCGAGCGGCCTGTTCCCAATCACACCTTGACGTCCCATGCTAATACCATAGGCGAGATTAACACGAGAGCCACCATGATCGCCTTCACAGTGTCACCGCATGGAGGCTTGGACCCGTAGGAGTTTCTGGTGGCTGCTTGGAGGGGGTAGTCAGGTCATAGCTGTAGTGGCGAATGTCAGCTTGCACCCATTTCACTAATGTCTTGTAGCCGTGAAGATACTTGTGTCTGTTGAGCTGATTTCTGGCCTCTCTTCCCAGACAATTTCCAAGACCAGATGAAGAGAGAGTTGGCCTACAGAGAGGAGATGGTCCAGCAGCTGCAGATTGTGAGAGGTAAGCCATTCCGCCGCCATCGTAGGCTGTTCACAATCAACGCCTCCGTCTCAGGTTTAAATGCGAGGTAATTTAACAATTATTTTTTCTTATTTAATATCCTCTGATTAGCCTAAACATAGCAAACAAGCTTGGCTCGGGCCTTGCAGGCACCATTACCAACCAGTGATTGAACTCCTCTGCACACTAATTTGCATGGCTTTCTAAATTAAAAATCGAGGCGTAAAATTACCTGCGTGTTAATGCCTGCGATTGTGTTTAATTCTCCTCGTATCCATCTGCCTCCCAGCACAGAATCACAGGCAGTGTCCTTACTGTAACTCACTTCTAACAAACTGCGCCGCATTGTCTCGCTGAGCAGCCTGCAGTTAACTCAGTCTCGTCCGTGGCGGCATCCTCATGCTTCGGTCTCCTCCGTGCTTCGGTCTCCTCTGTGCTTTAGTCTCCTCCGTGCTTCGGTCTCCTCTGTGCTTCGGTCTCCTCCATGCATCGGTCTCCTCTGTGCTTTATCTCCTCCGTGCTTCGGTCTCCTCCGTGCTTCGGTCTCCTCCGTGCTTCGGTCTCCTCCGTGCATCGGTCTCCTCCTGTGCTTTAGTCTCCTCCGTGCTTCGGTCTCCTCGTGCTTCGGTCTCCTCCATGCATCGGTCTCTCCTCTGTGCTTTAGTCTCCTCCGTGCTTCGGTCTCCTCCGTGCTTCGGTCTCCTCCAACCCTGCACTGCCACCGTCCGGCCGTTTATATACAACAGCCGGACGGGAGGTAGTTAGGGAAGTTTTTGTTTTAATAATACAACAAGCTCATGATACGCCCACTCAGGGGCAGAGCAGAACATACATACATTAGCAGATACAAGTCATCAGGATGTATTGTCCACATAACGGAATGTCCAATGACATCAAAGAGGGATGGCAAAAAGCCGAACCAAATAGTAGCAGCAGCAATCCATCATATTACCGGGAAAAAAAAAACTGATAGAAAAAAGAAAATATAAAAAACATAGAAAGAAATAAAGAAAAAAGAAAGATTCAAAGAGAAGACATGGAAGAAAAGAAGACTAGAAGAGTCACGGATCCAGGGCTAGCACAGGCAACGACTATAAGAGGCCATAATTATTAAGAGGCAGGGATGGCAGGGAATAACGTATCCAAGGTTCCCAAACCTCAAGGAATCTCGGATGAGAATCTTGAAGAACGCTAGACAGCTGTTCATTGATCAGCATAGCATTCATCCGGGTCTTCACCCCCTGGAAGACAACCAAAGGGGTTCTCCAAGCTTGAGCTATAGCACATTTTGGCCGAAATAAATAGGTAGGATGCCAATTTCTGCTGAGACCTAGACAGACCCAAAATTGGGCAATGCAGGAAGGCCACCTTTGCATCCCTACAGAACATAATATGAGAATTGGCACCTTTTATGGTTTTAAGTCTGAATGATATTAAGATGTGTTAGTGGTGTCCTCCACTCCTTCCTGGCTAGATTTAGAATTGGCGCCCGTTATTGTATGTACGTTGGCACTTTCAAGAGGAGTCAAAAACAAATGGTTATCCATAGGGGCATTCTCCATGGCCTTTATGGTTGTGGTTAAAATGGTCGACTTTTATCATAGTTTTATATATGTAGTCTGATGTATGTAGACTGGATTGTATCAAGATGAGTCAATAACAAAATGTTGTCCATATTGGTGTCCTTTGTGCTTTCATGAATTGGATTTAGAAATGGCGCCTTTTATTGTATGTAGTCTGAATTGTATCAAGAGGAGTCAATAACAACTGGTTGCCCATAGAGGTGTTCCCCATGCTTTCCTGGTTGCCCATTGCAGCATTCTCCATGCCTCCATGGTTGCATTTCCTGCCTTTCTTTGTATGTAAGCTGGATTGCATCAAGACGAGTGAATACCAAATGGTTGTAGTCCGTGGCGGCATCCTCCGTGCCTTCCTGGCTGTACTTAGAATTGGCACCTTTTATTGTATTAAGTCTGAATGATATTAAGATGTGTTAGTGGTGTCCTCCACTCCTTCATGGCTGGATTTAGAATTGGCGCCCGTTGATGTATGTACGTTGAATTATATCAAGATAAGTCAAAAACAAATGGTTATCCATAGGGGCATTCTCCATGGCCTTTATGGTTGTGATTAGAATGGTTGACTTTTATCGTAGTCTGAATTATATCAAGGCTAGCCAAAGACAACTAGTTGCCAATGGCAGCATCCTCTGCACCTTCATGGCTAGATTTACATTGGTGTCTTATATGTATTCTGAATTATATCAAGAGGAGTCAAAAACAAATGGTTATCCGTAGCGGCATTCTCCATGGCCTTTATGGTTGTACTTAGAATGGTTGACTTTTATCATAGTCTGAATTATATAAAGGCTAGCCAATCACAGCTAGTTGCCAATGGCAGCATACTCTGCACCTTCATGGCTAGATTTAGATTAGTGTCTTATATTTAGTCTGAATTATATCAAAGTGAGGCAATATAAACTGGTCATCCATAGCAGCATTCTTCGTTCCTTCATGGCTGGATTTAGAATTGGCAGCTATTATTGTACGTAGTTTGAATTATATCAAGACGAGTGAAGAACAAATGGTTGTCCATTGCGGAATCCTCTGTTCCTTCTTGGTTGGATTTGAAATTCCCGCCTTTCTTTGTATGTAGACTGGATGGCATCAAGACAAGTCAATAATAAATGGTTGTCCATTGCAGCATCCTCCATGCCTTCCTGATTGTACTTGACTTAACTCTAAGTTATATCAAGGCGAGTCAATAACAAATGGCTGTCCTTTGCGGTATTCTCTGTGCCTTCATGATTGGATTTCCTGCCTTTCTTTGTATGTAGACTGGATTGTATCAACATGAGTCAATAACAAAATGTTGTCCATATTGGTGTCCTTTGTGCTTTCATGAATGAATTTAGAAATGGTGCCTTTTATTGTATGTAGTCTGAATTGTATCAAGAGAACGTCAATAACTGGTTGCCCATAGAGGTGTTCTCCATGCTTTCCTGGTTGTCCATTGAGGCATTCTCCATGCCTCCATGGTTGCATTTCCTGCCTTTCTTTGTATGTAAACTGGATTGTATCAAGACGAATGAATACCAAATGATTGTCCATATTGGCGTCCTTTGTGCCTTCATGACTGGATTTAGAATTGGCTCCTTTGATTGTATGTACGCTGAATTGTATCAAGAGGGGTCAACAACAGCTGGTTGCCCATAGCAGTGCTCTCCATGCCTTCCTGGTTATATATAGAATGGTCAAATTTTATTATAGTTTGAATTAAATCATGTCTAATCAATGACAACTGGTTATCAATGGCGGAATCCTCTGCACCTTCATGGTTGACTTTAGAATTGGTGCTTTTTTATATGTAGTCTGAATTATATCAAGGCAAGTCAATGTCATATGGTCATCCATAATGGCATCCTCCACAGCTTCATGGCTGGATTTAGAATTGGCACCTTTTATTGTATGTAGTCTGAGTTATATCAAGACAAGTCAATAACAGATAGTTGTCCATAGTGGCGTTATCCATACCTTCATGGCAGGATTTAAAATTGGTGACTTTCATTGTATGCAGTCGGGATTGTATCAAGATGAGTCAATAACAAATGGTTGTCCATAGCAGCATCCTACATACAGTTGTGTTCAAAATAATAGCAGTCAGACATCACTAACCGGATCAATCACTGTTTTTGGTAGAAATTATATTTCTACATGGCAAATAATTTACTAGCAGGTGTAGTAGAGTAATAGAAATCCAACAGACCCAACAGTCATGACATGCATGCTGCTGATTCTGTGTCATTGAATCACTCATTGAAAGGGGCGTGTTCAAAATAATAGCAGTGTGGAGTTCTATTAGTGAGGTCATTCATTCTTTGAAAAACAGGCGGCAATTATTGCCCTTATTTAAGGAAGGAAGGCAGCAAATGTTGTACATGCCGGTTACAGTGCATTTCTCTCTGAAATTCAGAGGAAAATGGGTCGTTCCAGACATTGTTCAGAAGAACAGCGTACCTTGATTAAAAAGTTGATTGGAGAGGGGAAAACATATAAAGAAGTGCAGAAAATGATCGGCTGCTCAGCTAAAATGATCGCAAATGCTTTAAAAATGGCAACCAAATCCTGAAAGACGTGGAAGAAAGCGAAAAAAAAAAACTACTAATGGAATGGATAGAAGAATAGCCAAAATGGCGCGGACTCAGCCAACAATCAGCTCCAGGAAGATGAAAGAAGGTGTGACGTTCCCTGTGAGGACTGTGACAATTAGAAGACGCCTATGTGAAGCCAAGCTGTCTGCAAGAAGTCCCCGCAAAGTCCCACTGTTGGAAAAAGACGTGCTGAAGAGGTTACAATCTGCCAAAGAGCACATTGACTGGCCTAAAGAGAAATGGCGCAACATTTTGTGGACGGATGAAAGTAAGATTTTTCTTTTTGGGTCTAGTGGCCGGAGACAGTTTGTCAGACGACCCCAAACACTGAATTCAAGCCACAGTACACTGTGAAGACAGTGAAGCATGGTGGTGCAAGCATCATGATATGGGGATGTTTCTCATACTACGGTGTTGGGCCTATTTATCGCATACCAGGGATCATGGATCAGTTTGAATACATCAGAATACTTGAAGAGGTCATGCTGCCTTATGCTGAAGAGGAAATGCCCTTGAAATGGGTGTTCCAACAAGACAACGACCCCAAACACACCAGTAAACGTGCAACATCTTGGTTCCAGACCAACAAGATGGACGTTATGGAGTGGCCAGCCCAACCCCCGGATCTTCATCCAATAGAAAACTTGTGGGGTGACATCAAAAATGCAGTTTCTGAGGCAAAACCAAGAAATAGAGAAGAACTGTGGAATGTGGTCCAATCATCCTGGACTGGAATACCTGATCACAGGGGCCAGAAGTTGGGTGACTCCATGCAACACAGATGTACAGCAGTTCTCAGAAACAGTGCGACTACAACCAAATATTCATGAAGTCATTCAAAGGAAAGCAAAATCTTCAAACATTTCTCAGTTTATATAGTGAATGTTTGAGTTTGTAAAGAAGAATACAAACACGGCGATTTTTTTGAACCGTCTAATATTCACTTTTCTTCATTTTTTTTAGAGGAACAACACAAATTTGATCTATTTTTCTTCATGTTTTGATTTGGAATAGAATGTGTCGTGTTCCCAATGCATTTGTGTGGATGGAAATAAAAGCTATTAGAAGGATTTTCAGCTTTATTCACTTTTTTTCAACACATTGCTATTATTTTGAACACAACTGTACCTTCATGGCTGTATTTAGAATTGGCGGCTTTTATTGTATGTAGTCTGAATTGTATCAAGATGGATCAGTAATAACTGGTTGTCCACCATAACGGTGTCCTCCATGCTTTCATTGCCAGAATTAGAATTGGTGTCTTTTATTGTATGTAGTCTGAATTATACCAAGACACGTCAGCTGAGCCTTCAATATAATATTAAGAATCATTATAAATCTGGTTGGACAATTGGCTAATTTTTAACAATCTTTGTATAAAAATTAACCCATGTCACCTAATCAGCCTTATGTTTCCCATTGGGTAAAGCTCCTAGGTGACTCATTGGCCTTTAAGAAACTAATAAGTGCACATTTAATGGTTGAACTGGATGGACTTTTATCTTTTTTCAGCCAGACTAATTATGTAACATTGTTATTATTTGCTATATATATAGTGCCGACAGTTTGTGTGCTGTACAAAATAAAGGGAGGCAGTACAGTTGCAATACAATTTGATACAGCAGGGTTCAAAGGGTCCTGCTCGTGGGAGCTTATAGTCTAAAAGGGCGGGTCAAAAAGTAATAGCTGGGGGCAGGGGCAGAATGACAACTCTTGGGGCCCCCGGGTAATAGGGGATCATGGGGCCCCTGTGTCCTTGCCCAAACTCAAAAAAGCCTATGAAAAAGGTACCAGGGGTATCTTATGGGTCCTTTACTGACCCCGGGCCCTCTGGCAGTGCCCGAGTTTCCAAATGGTCAGTCCGCCCCTGGCTGGGGGGGGGGGGGGGGTTGATGAAGAAAGAAAAAGTTCAGTTTGTTGGATGGAGGTGGGAGAGATTTCTCTGAAGAGATGGGTTTTCAGGAATCACCTAAAGGTGGACAGCGTACAGTATAAAGTCCCAGAGGATGTGAGAGGCTCTGGGGAAGTCCTGGAGGTAAGCATGGAAGGAAGTCACGAGGGGGCCAGAAAGCTTAGAAGTTGCAGGTTCCGGGGGATGGGACAGGTTCTGGGGAAGTCAAGGAGGTAAGCATGGAGGGAGGTGATGAGGAAGCCAGAAACCATAGAGGTTCCAGAGGATTGGAGACGTTCTGGGAAGTCCTGGAGGTAAGAATGGAAGGAGGTCACAAGGGGGCCAGAAAGCTTAGAGGTTGCAGGTTCCAGAAGATGGGACAGGTTCTGGGGAAGTCAAGGAGGTAAGCATGGAGGGAGGTGACGAGGAAGCCAGAAACCATAGAGGTTCCAGAGGATGGGAGATGTTCTAGGGAAGTCCTGGAGGTAAGCATGGAAGGAGGTCACAAGGGGGTCAGAAAGCTTAGAGGTTGCAGGTTCCAGAAGATGGAAGAGGCTCTGGGGAAGTCCTGGCAGTAAGCATATAAGGAGGCGACGAGGGGGGCAGAAGGCATAGAGGTTGCCCAGAAAATATGACAAAATTTTTTTTTTTTGATACATGCTTTTTGAGATATCTTGGTTTGCTAGCCTCTGACCTGATTCTCCCTGTCCTCACTTGTGCCGTATCAGTTTAGCTGGCAGGAACTAGTAATTTTTTATTTATTTATGAACTCTTAGGTTTGAGATTATTGAAAATGCATGGGTTCCATATGGTATGCTAATGTATATTCTGTTGTAATACCTCAGCAATTGTGTTGGCTTCTTCCAGTACGCTGGTTGACATCCCGACAACTCTTTGTAGCGACGTCTTTATTCAGTAATGTATATTCTTCTGTAATGTATATTAATTCTAAATAAACTGTTATTTTGGGGGGAGATTGGATATTCTTTGGATATGTTACCCAGTTAGTGGGTAGAAGGATGACTGTGTTCCGGCTGAGATTGGTGGGATTGGAAACATGTCTGGTGAGGAAAGGGTTGAGTCTGTCATTGAGCATGAGAAGCTAACGTCTCCTTTTTCTCCCCAGACACCCTGTGTAATGAACTGGATCAGGAGAGGAAAGCACGCTATGCTATCCAGCAGAAATTAAAAGGTATTAACAAAGGAGACAGGAGAAAAGTGTGTCACAGAGCAATTTAAAGTGTATAAAAACTGTGCATACAGAACGAGTGGGACTCCATAGACACGGAGATTGTACCAGGAGCATTGGTGTTTTATAGAAGCCATTGTACGGAGAAGGAAATTAGGAAATTCGAGGCACATAGATAAGAGAGGGGAACGTTTGCTGAACACACATTGTGAATGTGCAATTCACTCAAACACTAAAATAATTTTGCAAAAAGAAGGTCAGAGAAATCTCCTTAAAATCCACTGATCTCCCGATTTCGAATGACCCAACCTTCTTTCTATTGCTCCATTCTATCATCTCCATTAAACTTACACAAAATCCATTCTTGGCCACCTCCGGAATGCAGTCAAATCCTGCATTTCTTTGAAATGGAGAGACACCCTACTCCCTTGATATCTTGTGGCAACACAGAGTAGAAGATATTAGGTAAATGGAAGACCTCATTCTCTCCTCCCAAAACAGCCATGACACATACATGGTTGTATTGGAGTGATTCTATCTTCTCGGAGGTTGGTAAAGCCCTTCTTCACAGAGATTCATGATCCATTGCACCTCACCCTAGTGACCACCTGATCCATTGCATCTCACCCTAGTGCCCACCTGATCCATTGCATCTCACCCTAGTGCCCACCTGATCCATTGCACCTCACCCTAGTGCCCACCTGATCTGTTGCATCTCATCCTAGTGGCCACCTGGTCCATTGCACCTCACTCTATTGCCCACCTGATCCATTGCACCTCAACCTAGTGCCCACCTGATCCATTGCACCTAACATTAGTGCTCAACTGATCCATTCCACATCACCCTAGTGCTCACCTGATCCATTGCACATCACCCTAGTGCTCACCTGATCCATTGTACATCACCCTAGTGCTCACCACCCGATCCATCTCCTGCACATCCTGTCCTTCCACCACATCTCCCCTTGTTCTTCCCTGTGTTTACCTTTCTCCACCCTACCCTACCCCCTCATACCACCCTCTCACCCATACCACCCTACCCCCCCCCCCCCCCCCCCGCCTCTCTCCAATTAATGTCTCCTACCCCAACATCCACTCTGATATCCCTGAATGACCCATCCCTCCCCTCTCCAACCTACCACTTTCTATTTTCCCTTTTGCCACCATCGCTCCCCTCCCGAAACACACACCTTCCCACTCTCCACTCTGAAGATAAATGATAAATTAGATATAGACTTTGTGTTTCCCTCCCTTCTCCACGGGCACAGAGTACTGCAATGCCATACCAACTCTGTGGCTTGTTTCATGTTGTGTCATATGCTAATATACCAGTTCTAAGTCTCATTAATTAAATAATTTGGGGGGGGTTGCCAAAGTACTTACCAAGGAACAGCACTTGTTTATGAGTATGTGTCGAAGGGATAGCAAGGGGTGGTGCAGGAACGGCTTGCTTACAGAGAAAATGGCGGTAATACAAAAAGAAGGTACTGGTACCCAAAGGAGTGGGGATAATGTGGGATGCTTGGCCTAATTTGGCCGAACATGTCATATTAGGCCAATGACATTGACCTGATAACCCAGTGGGGCCTTAATTTAGACAATGGCAACCAATGACCCTGATAACACGTGGCCTTGATGACAATGGCAACCCCGAGCAATTTTGAACGGAGAGCTACGGAGAGCTACAGGCAAAATACAACATTTAGCAACATTTGAGTGAGAGGAAATCCCTCCAAAGTGGAGAAGCCCTGGTTGTCACTAGTGAAGGGTCGAAACACCCCCCTGTTCGGTCTGCGGTCAGACATTCGAACCTAACGAAAGTTCAACCATGAACTTGGGAGGGGACTATTCCCTAAGCAGTATCTTACCACATCTGAGTATGCGATAAAATATTGCACAGCTACTAAAAAACATTATTGTATCAGCTGTCAGTGGAGTTCCCTGCTGACAGCTGAATGCAAAAAGAATTGCTGGTATTGCCCGGCAAATTAAAACATTTAAAAAAAACGTGGGGTCCCCCCCAATCCATACCAAGCCTTTTGGGTCTGTTATGGAGTTTGAGGGGAACCCCCAAGACAAATTTTTTTTAAAAGTGTGTGTGTGTGTGTGTGTGTGTGTGTGTATGTGTGGGTGGGGGGGGTCCACCCAAAATCCATACCAGACCCTTATCCGAGCATGCAGCCCGGCAGGTCAGGAAAGGGGGGGACGAGTGAGTGCCCCCCTCTTGAACCATACCAGGCTACATGCCCTGAAAATGGGGGGGGGGTGGTGCTTTGGGGCACGCCCCTCCCAAAGCATCTTGTTGCTGAGGACAAGGGCCTCTTCCTCACAACCGTGGCCGGTGGTTGTGAGGGTCTGTGGGCGGGGGGGCTTATTCCGGCAACCTTCCCCCTATTTGAATGAGTATGGGGTACATGGCACCACTACCCATTCACAACAAATGGGGCACTATTCTTTCCCCTGATACCAACAATACTCCTCCCACTATTACCGATGATGGAACATTGTTTACTCCAGGTGATGCCAGGGCATTTTCTACTCCCACTAGCCACAGTCTGAACCCCTCAAAGTCTGAAGGACAGTAAACAGACCCTTTGTTTTGAAAGATTGGAGACCCCTGCTCTAGGGTTAGAAGGTTGAGAAAGGCTGATGTAGACATTTGTTATCATGAAAAAGAACTTAAAGGGGGCGCAAAAGAACCCAAAATGTATTGAAAGATATAAAAAAAGCCAAATTCATACAAACAACAGATGTAATATGCATGACAAGGATTACTGATGGTCCACTAATGTGGTGGGTTCCCAACTGTTGGTATTGTCAGCAAACTGATGCTTTTTGGGGACGTGTCCCCTTCCTTAGAGCTCAAGCCAACAAATGTTCATCTCTTAATATATATATTGGGCACCACAAGGCCACACATAGCCCCTTCCCTCAAAAGGGCAGGAAGTCACTGCATCACACAAGGTCAAATGATGTTGGAAGTCATTAATCATTAGGGAATCATTAGGTGAATGGTTAACAACTTCCAACATCATTTGACCTTGTTTGATGCAGTGACTCCCCGCCCTTTCATTGAGAGGGGCAATGTGTTGCCTTGTGGTGCCCAATACATATATTACGAGACAGATATTTGTTGGCTTGAGGTCAACAGATGTAATATGCATGACAAGGATTACTGATGGTCCACTAATGTGGTGGGTTCCCAACTGTTGGTATTGTCGGCAAACTGACACGTTTTGGGGATGTGTCCCCTTCATCAGACCTCAAGCCAACAAATATCTGTCTTCTAATATATGTATTGGGCACCACAAGGCAACACATTGCCCCTCTCAATAAAAGGGCGGGGAGTCACTGCATCAAACAAGGTCAAATGATGTTGGAAGTCGTTAACCATTTACCTAATGATTCCTTAATGATTAATGACTTCCAACATCATTTGACCTTGTTTGATGCAGTGACTTCCTGCCCTTTTGAGCGGAGGGGCTATGTGTGGCCTTGTGGTGCTCAATACATATATTAATGCGGGCCATAGATGGAATGAAAAACGGCCGAAAATCCGCCGGAAAAAACAAAAAAATCGGCCGATTTTCGGATCGTTAGTGCGGTAATCGGTCGGCCAATTTTAGTGATTTTTGCCCTTTTGGATTATCGGTCCTGCTGGAAAATAATTGGCCAAATTTGTTGTTCTGCCGATTTTCGGGGCAATGATGGACAAATCTGCCGATCTTTTTCCGATTTTAAAAAATGAAAATGCGCATGAGCAGTGACATGAAAGCAGAAGGAAAAGAAGAAATGGAAAAAAATAGAATATGAATGAGAAGAAGAAATAGAAATATGAATAAAAAGAAGAAATAGAATATAAAAGAAGAAGAAGAAATAGATATGAAAAAGAAAAAAAAAAAGAATTCCAGTCTGATATTATATTTGACATTTAAAAGTATAGCAACATTGTATCTATTTGTATCCGAATAGAAACATCTGTATCCGAAATGGATACAAATAGATACAATGTTGCAACTTTTTCTTCTTATTCATATTCTATTTCTTCTTCTTCTGCATATTCTATTTCTTCTTATTCATATTCTATTTCTTTTTCTGCATATTTTATTTATGCTTCTTCTGCATATTCTATATAATTGCCTGCTGTAGACGGGACGAAAATCAGCCGACTTTTTTTTTACCAATGGTGGTAACGTCGGCTGATTGAACGACCCATTTTTCGTTTTTCTAAAAAAAAAAACGGCCGGGTTTCTCCCCGTCTATGGCCTGCATAAGAGACAAACATTTGTTGGCTTGAGCTCTAAGGAAGGGGACACATCCCCAAAAAGCATCAGCTTGCCAACACTACCAAGAGTTGGGAGCCCACCACGTTGGTTGACCGTCAGTAATCCTTGTTATGCATATTACTTCTGTTGTTGAGTATTAATTAGGATTTCCTTGATTTCTCTCAATACATTTTGGGTAGTGTGCTAGGCGTTTGTGCCCCCTGTGTGTTCTTTTTCATTTCATGGTTGGACTCCCCTGTCTGAGGAGGGCTTCACCACCTAATCACTATCCCTGAAGAAACAGTAACCCTACCATATACCAGTCTGGTGACTTTTCTTTTGAGCGCTGGAGGAATTGTGAATTTCTTATCATGAATAAAATGTGTGCAAAACTGTACCTGATCTCTTCTTGAACTCCAACGTTTCCATGTGTTCTCTTCCAAGATGCCGACACCAAGAGCCTGCACAGAGAACTCTTCCTTCAGACCTCCAGTCCTGCCCCACTGAGCTACATCTGGGCACCACGAAAACTGATGTACCCTCCAGCACCCTGAGAGAGAGACAGGGAATCATCTCCGCACAAAACCAAGCCATTCCCTGCCTCTGTGTGAAAGAGACAACCCGCGTGTTGAACCGCAAACCGGCCCAAGGGGAGACCTCCCGCTCTGAAACGTTGGGCCAACTTGTAAATACTGTACAGTAAACAGCAGGAAGTCTGTGCACTGAGGAATCTGAGCCAGGAATGATCCCCAGATCAACCATGTATTATAAGGCTTTGTGTATAAATGACACATATATATATATATAATATAAATATATATAAAATATATATATAAATGACTCTTACAAAAAAAGAAAAGAAAAAGGAAAAAAAAAAAAGTTCAATGTATTAATTGTTTTAACTCCTATTCCGTATGTTCCCGCTGAACACCAGTAGTAGCAGAGAGGGTGCTTCTCCGGCACCGGAAGGCGTGTGACACTAGGGGGGGTCAATGGTGGTAGAGTGGCCACGTGCAATGGATATCTATGTACTGTGATTCTTATTAAAGCAGTATTTTTTTAAGTTATTGGGATTATTTTCTATATTTGTTTGGTTTTACCATCTTTTGTATTTTGGATGATGTAATAAGAGCACTTTAAGGAGAAATCCGCCAACTTGTGTACAAAACAGAAACTCCATTTGTTCTAAAGGTTAAAAAAAAACAAACAAAAAAAAAAAAAACTGTATAAGTGAATTTTGTTCTTAAATAAATGAAACTTGCTCCATATGCGTTCTTTGTGCTTGGGGTGGTAGATTGGAGAACTCACAGATTTGTCAGTTGGGTCTATGTGGGTTCCTTCCATATTCAACACGACCCGGACGGAGCTGTGGAATCGTACTGGTAGGTACAATTTTAACGTTTTGGTGGAGCTACTTCTGATTTTACTTCTTTCTGAGTTTATGTTTTGAGTTTATGAAGCCCCCATACTTCTGCCAGCTGGACGCTTTTTAGCGGTCCTGCCCTTGCAGCACTATTGACTGACACCAATGATGGGGCACCAGTCCCTATACTGATACCAACAATGGGACACTATCTCTCCTACCGACACTAATGACAAGGCATACTTCCACTAACTGATATAAATGTTGGATCACTATTCCTTTCACTGACATCAAAGATGGGGCACTATTCTTCCCACTGACACCAACAATGGAGACTAATTCCTCCCAATGACACCAAAAATAGGGCACTTTTCCTTCCATTTACACCAACAATGGGGCACTATTCCTCCCACTGACACCAATGATCGGACACTGTTCCTCCCACCTGGACCAAACTATAGGACACTATTGCTCCCACTGATATCAATGAATGGGCACTCTTCTTCTTATAGACACCAATGATGGGGCACTATTCCTCCCACTGACACCAATGATGGGGCACTATTTCCCCCCACTGATACAAATGATGGGGCACTATTCCTCCCACTGACACCAATGATGGGGCACTATTTCCCCCCACTGATACCAATGATGGGGCACTATTCCTCCCACTGACACCAACAGTGGGGTCCTATTCATCCCACTGACACCAACGATGAGGAATTATTCCTTCCTCAGATACCAATGATGGGGCACTATTCCTTCCATAGACACAAACTATTGGGCATTAATCCCCCCACTGACACCAATAAAGGAAACTATTCCTCCCACTTACACCAATGAAGGAAACTATTGCTCCCACTGACACCAACGATGGGGCAATACTCCTTCCACTGATATTAACAATTGGGCACTATTCCTCCCATTGATACCAGTAATGAGGCACTATTCCTTCCACAGACACGAGCGATGGGCACTTTTGCTCCTAATGACATTAATGATGGGGCACTATTCCTTATGCACACACAACAATTGGGTATTATTCCTTCCACTGACACCAATGATGGGACACTATTCCTCCCACTGATACCAATGATGGGGCACTATTCCTCCCACTGACACCAATGATGGGGCACTATTCCTCCCACTGACACCACTGATGGGGCACTATTCCTCCCACTGATACCAATGATGGGGCACTATTCCTCCCACTGATACCAATGATGGGGCACTATTCCTCCCACTGACACAATGATGGGGCACTATTCCTCCCACTGATACCAATGATGGGGCACTATTCCTTCCACTGACACCAATGATGGGGCACTATTCCTCCCACTGATACTAATGATGGGGCACTATTCCTCCACTGATACCAATGATGGGCGCTATTCCTCCCACTGATACCAATGATGGGGCACTATTCCTCCCACTGACACCAATGATGGGGCGCTATTCCTCCCACTGACACCAATGATGGGGCACTATTCCTCCCACTGATACCAATGATGGGGCACTATTCCTTCCATAGACACCAATGATTATTATTATACAGGATTTATGGCGCCAACAGTTTGCTCAGCGCTTTACAATATAATGGGAGACAATACAGCAACAATACAGTTCAATACAAGAGGGTTAGGAGGGCCCTGATCCTGGGAGCTTACAATCTAAGAGGGAGGGGCTAGTGCTACAAAAGGTAATAACTGTGGGGGATGGACTGGTAGGAGGAATAGAAGATTCCATTATTAGCTGAGGGCAGGATAGGCTTCCCTGAATAGATAGATCGCCTAAAAGTGAGCAGAGTAGGTGATAGTCTGATAAATTGGGGTAGAGAGTTCCAGAGGATGGGGGAAGCTCTGGAGAAGTCCTGGAGACGAGCATGGGAGGAGGAAACAAGGAAGCTAGAGAGCAGGAGGGTCGTGGGAGGAGCGGAGAGGATGGTTTGGATGATATTTGGAGACAAGATCGGTGATGTAATTTGGGGCGGAGTTATAAATGGATTTATACGTTATTGTTAATGTTTTGAATTTTATCTGTTGGACAATGGGAAGCCAGTGGAGGGATTGGCAGAGAGGGGTGGAGGACACTGAGTGGAGGTCAGTGGAGGGATTGGCAGAGAGGGGTGGAGGACACTGAGTGGAGGTCAGTGGAGGGATTGGCAGAGAGGGGTGGAGGACACTGAGTGGAGGTCAGTGAAGGGATTGGCAGAGAGGGGTGGAGGACACTGAGTGGAGGTCAGTGGAGGGATTGGCAGAGAGGGGTGGAGATACGAGGGAGGGAATAAGACGCTTCGTGGTTTCAGAGGTTAAGATACGGCCGAATATCGTGGAGATGTTGCGGAGGTTGGAGATGTTGCGGAGGTTGGAGATGTTACGGAGGTGAAGTCTACAAGATTTGGACAGTGATTGGATTTGGGGCTGAAAGGACAGATAGGAGTCTAGGATTACACCTAGTACCCTGGCATGAGGGGAGGGACTGATGGTTGTATTATTGATCTTGATGGAAAAGTTGGGGGGGGGGGGCACAGGCTGGAGGAGGGAATACTAAGAGCTCAGTTTTGGAAAGATTGAGTTTGAGGAAGTGGAGTGACATCCATGCCGATATGTTGCTTAGTAGGTTGGTAATGCGAGAGGAGACTGAAGGGGTGAGGTGAGGAGTAGAAAGATAGATTTGTGTGTCATCAGCATAGAGATGACACTGGAAGCCATGGGAGTTGATATCAAGTGACCAAGGGAGGAGGTCTAGATGGAGAAGAGAAGGGGTCCAACTACAGATCCTTGAGGGACCCCTACAAAAAGAGGGAATGGAGAGGAGGAGCCAGAGTTATAGGTAACGCTGAAGGAGCTCTACGATAGGTAGGAGGAGAACCAGGAGAGAACAGAGTCTCGGATGGGGCACTATTCCTTCCATAGACACCAATGATGGAACACTATTCCATAGACACCAATACTCGGGCAGTATTCTTCCCACTGACACCAACAATGGAGCACAATTCCTTCCACTTTTTCTTTTACTTCCACCAGTGTTAGATAATTTTCTACTCTCACTGACAGCAGTCTTGCTCCCCTATAGTTTGAAGGACAGTAAATTAGCTCTTTCTAAAGAAAATTTGGAGACCCCTGGCTTAGGCTGTGAGACAGGAAAACTTCCTTTCCAGGCCTTGCCCACCAAACTTTACAAACTGATTGTACAGCTTTAAATCTCCCCCCTTTTAGGGGGAGCAGAAGGCAGAAGATTTGGCAACCAAGATCGCCATAGATTTGAAGAATGGGGGTGCTATCATGTAGAAGGGGGTCTGTATTGTAAAGGGGGGCCATGATGTAAATGAAGGACTCTTCTGTAAAGGGGGGGGGGGTGCTCTGAGAAGAAGGGGGTGCTATCATTTAAAAGCGGGTCTGTATTGTAAAGGGGGGACATGATGTAAATGAAGGGCTCCTCTGTAAACGGGGGGTGCTCTGAGAAGAAGGGGGGTGCTATCATGTAAAAGGGGGTCTGTATTGTAAAGGGGGGACATGATGTAAATGAAGGGCTCCTCTGTAAAGGGGGGGTGCTCTGAGAAGAAGGGGGGTGCTATCATGTAAAAGGGGGTCAGTATTGTAAATGGGGGGACATGATGTAAATGAAGGGCTCCTCTGTAAAGGGGGATGTTCTGAGAAGAAGGGGGGTGCTATCATGTAAAAGGGGGGACATGATGTAAATAAAGGGATCCTCTGTAAAGGGGGAGTATTCTGAGAAGAAGGCGGGGGCTATCATGTAAAAGGGGGTCTGTGTTGTAAAGGGGGGACATGATGTAAATGAAGGACTCTTCTGTAAAGGGGGGGTGCTCTGAGGAGAAGGGGGGTGCTATCATGTAAAAGGGGGTCAGTATTGTAAAGGGGGGACATGATGTAAATGAAGGGCTCCTCTGTAAAGGGCAGCTGTTCTGAGAAGAAGGGGGGTGCTATCATGTAAAAGATGGTCTGTATTGTAAAGGGGGGGCATGATGTAAGTGAAGGGCTCCTCTGTAAAGGGGGAGTGCTCTGAAAAGAAGGGGGGTGCTATCATGTAAAAGGGGGTCTGTATTATAAAGGGGGGACAGGATGTAAATGAATGGCTCCTTTGTAAAGGGGGGGGGGTGTTCTGAGAAGAAGAGGGGTGCTATCATGTAAAAGGGGGTCTGTATTGTAAAAGGGGGGACATGATGTAAAT